GGTTTGTGACGTTCTAGACGGCTCAGAGCGCGGGGCTCATAACCTATCAAACTCAGAAGAGGCACTGGTGTCCAACAGTGAGCAAGTAAGTATTGATAAAGACGAAATACAAGGGTACTGACCTGGTGTCCAACAGTGAGCAAGTAAGGAGACGCTCTGTGGACACCAGGGTTATATAGGTGAAAAGAAATAAGGTTTGGGAACTGTACAGTAGCTCGGAGTTCTCCATAGTAAGCCAAAGAGTAGAGAAAGGTGAAATAGGGGCAAAGTCGCGAGATACTGGATAAGGAAGGTGGTGAAGGTATAAACAAGACACAAGTAGAAGTATACCTCAACACACAATAGCTGAGTGGTTGCAGCGCTCTGGGCACTACCACAAGGCTCTAGGTTCAACCCACACAACAGGCAAGTTTTACCTCTTTTTACCCAAGTGTCCTGGAATGCTGTGAAGCGTACCAAGGCCACTGGGCTGCTGTGCCAAGGGCATAGGAGCGATGCAGAGGTGCTGGGCGCACTCTGACACTGGGATCAGCACCTGCATACCTCCCCTGGTGAACACATAGAGTGCACTGTCAGAGTAGGTGCGCTTGAAGCCCATCTCGAGCAGAGCAGCATGCAGCTTCCTGTTCCACATGCGTCCACCCTGCTTGGTCCCATAGAGAGGACGCTTCAGCAGGCATACCTGGTCCTTGCCACCAATGTGAAAGCCCTCTGGCTGACGCATATAGAGCGTGACATCCATGTCCCCTTGCAAGTACGCGTTGGAGATATCAACAGAGCGAAGGTGAAGGTCCTGGATGGCAGCAAGGGACAGGATGAAGCGAATGGTGGAGAGGCGGACAGTGGGAGCAAAGACCTCGAGGTAGTCGAAGCCAGGACGCTGGGAGAAGCCTTGGGCAACCACTCGAGCCTTGTGACGCTCTATGGACCCATCAGCATTGCGCTTCAGCTTGAACACCCACCGACTTCCTATAGCCTTCTCCCCTGGAGGGAGAGTCACCACCTCCCAGGTCCCATTGGTCCAGTGAGCGCCCATCTCGTCTACACAGTCATACCAGAGGGGATCCTGAGCAACAGCCTCAGCATAGGTCCTGGGCTCCTTGTAGGAATCACCCTGGAGCGCCAGTTCCTTGCCATAGGCCTCCCCATGCACAGCTAGTGCAGTGTCCGCATCTTCAGCGTCCTCGTCCTCGTCCTCGCTGTCTGGGACCACCTCCACCTGCTCATCCACAGGGACAAGCGGTTCAGCGGGCCCAGCAGGTGCAGGCTCAGCAGGGTACAAGCGAGGCTTGTCCAGCTTCCACCACTGAGTTGTAGCGGTCCTATCCCTGGCAGAACGACGTGTAGGGGCTTGAGGCGCAGGGACAGAGCGAGCACGGCGAGGAGGAGTACTGGGGCGATCTGGAGGGGCTTGGCCCTCATCAGCATCACCAGGAGGCGAAGGAGAACGCGAAGGCGGTGGAGGAGGCGTTGGGGCACGGTTGTGAGCTCCTGGGACGTCCTGAGGACGCTCCTGAGGCACAGGCGGCGCAGGTGGAGCACCATTCTCCCCCCCATGGCCCAATGGCTCATCAAGCTCATCAGGAACATAGACACCCACTGGGGGTGCAGGGGAAGGTGGTGGGTCGCTCCTAGGCCTAGAGAGGCCAGGGAAGTAGCGCTCATCGAAGTCAGCACGTTCCGAGATGACAGTGCGCTTGGTGGTGGGGTTGTAGAACTTCCAGCCCTTGTAGCCCTCAGGATAGCCAAGGAAGACGCACTTTTCCACATGGGAGCCCAGAGAGCGACGCTTATCCCTCTGCACATGCACATAGGCAGTGCAGCCCCAGACTCGGAGGTGGGAGACATCAGGCTTACACCCATGCCATAGCTGGTAGGGCGTGCCCTCAGGGACTGCCTCAGTGGGCAAGCGGTTCCACACATGCACCAGAGCAGCAAGGCACTCCCCCCAGAACGACTTGGGCAGGCCAGACTCGGCCAGGAGAGCAGTGATGCGCTCAGAGAGCACCCCATTGGCACATTCAGCAACCCCATTCTGCTGAGGGCGATTGCGAACAGTGTGCCTGCGCACTCCACATCGCTCCTGGACGCTCTCTGCACCCCCTCCTCGCGCCTCAACGCTTCCCATCTCCTCACCATCTCCTCACCTCCTCACCTCCTCTGCTGCTGCACCCCTTGTCCCCTCGCTCTCCCATTGTCTTCTACACCTCTTCATTGTCCCCATGCCCGACGCCGACGCCTCCAATCGTGTCAAGGCCCTCACCAAGGACAACTATGTGTCCTGGTCTGTGGACTTCAGCACTCTAGCTCGCTCCAAGGGGTCCTACAAGCTTTTGAAGGGTACTGAGACATGTCCTCAGGATCCTGGCGAGCTCATGCTCTCCCTGTCTGAGGAACAGCGCATCCATGTCAAGGGCAAGGGGGATGACCCCACTGCTATGTGGGACGCTCTCCAGGCAACAGCAGAAGGTCCCTGGCACTTGCTTCAACACTTTCGATGACTTCTTCGCCCTTAGGAAGCGTCCTGAGGAGTCCCTCAGCTCCCTCATTGCTAGGGTGGACACCCTCTATGCCAGGATCAAGGATCTTCGCCCTCCTGCCTACACCCTCGACTCTCTGGACCAGGAGCTGGCCTGCATGGCCCTCATTCGTGCTCTCCCTGAGGAGTACTCCCACTTTGTCTCTGCCCTCATGCTCCAGTCCACTCTGGACAAGGATGCTGTGGTGCAAGCGTTCATCCAGGAGGAGAACAACAGGACTCGACGCTCTACAGCGCCTGTGGCCTCCTCAGAGGCTGTCCTCGCCGTCTCGGCGCCCTCTTCTGGTTCTGCCCCTTCCCTCGACCACTGCACCTGCACTGGGGAGCTCCTCTGCTCGTTCTGTGAGAAGCCACACCACTGCTTCCACAAGTGCTTCGCCCTTCAATGCGCTAAGAACGAGCTCAAGGCCCAGTCGAGCTCTAGGAAGCCTGGCAACCAGTCTGGCCGCTCTCAGCGTGCCAACCAAGCCCAGGCTGCTGCTCCCAGCGCTTCTGGCACTTCCTCCACTGCTCCTGTCCCTCCCTCGGCCTCTCAGGCTGTTGTGGAGTATGCTGGCAATGCAAGTCTTTGCTCTTCTCCTTCCCCCACCAGCCCCACCTGTCCTCTCCAGCTCGATTCAGATGCTGACTGGATTGCAAACACAGGCACCACTTCTCATATGACCCCTCACCGTCACTAGCTGCGTTCCTACACGCCCATGCGCGTCCCAGTTCGCCTTGCTGACCACACTATGGTCTACTCAGATGGTGTAGGGTCTGTGGTATTCTGTCCTAGGGTGGGAGGGAAAGAGGCGAGGGTTGTAGAGTTTAGTAGGGTGCTGCATGTACCTGACCTGCGCTCCAATCTCCTCTCTGTACTCTACCTTACTCGTCATCATGGCTTCTCTGTCACTATCACCGCTCAATCTATGTCCTTCATTCGCTCCAACACTGTGCTGTTCACTGCTACCATCAACCAGAACACCAGTGCGCTTTTGGACGGTGTAACAGAGCCATTGACCGAGTATGCGCAGCTATCCTCTACTCTGCCTCTTGACCTGTCCCTCTGGCATCGCAGACTGGCCCACCATAGCGTTGGGGGGGGGGGTCCAGGCTCTGTCAGAGCGCGATTGGGTCACTGGCATGCAGCTGGACTCCAAGGAGCGCCCTGACCCTATCTGTGAGCCCTGCCTCGC